AGAGAGAGAGAGAGAGAGAGAGAGAGAGTCTTAAGGCATACTCACACTGGGACTTTGCTGGATGGATATGACCGCATTTCAGCCGCAGCATGGATGCACCTGATCGCAATTACGACTACAGAGAAGTGGAAAAGGTCCTGGTGTGAGTAAGCCCTGAGAGTTTTCCACTACTTCGATTCTTCGGGCCTCGCCGAACCACTCACTAAATGTAAAAAAGACAAAAATATGTTGGATGTATCTTCGGGCCTCACCCTTCATCTCCTTTCTTCTTCAATTCTTCAGTTCTTCTTCTTCTTCTTCCTTCACCTGTCGTCGCCGCCCAAACTCACTCTTCCGGACCTTCTCCATCCCTACGCCGAACCTCCTCCCTCGCCCGATCTTCCCCCTCTCCCCCCCCGACCTCCTCATGACCTCCTCCCTCCCTTCTTCCTCCCTCCGCCCTCCTCCTCCTTTCCTCCTTCCGCCCTCCTTCCTCCCTTCTTCCTCCCTTCTTCCTCCTTCCTCCCTCCTCCCTACCTCCTTCCTCCCTGTGCGAGACATCCACCCAACCTCCTCCCTCCCACTTTCCTCCTCCTCTCACCCTCTGTCCAGCCTCCCCGTCCTACCTCCACCCTTGCCTTCCCTTCTTCGCTCCTTCCTCCCTCAGCCCGACCTCCTACCTCCCCTTCCTCTCCTCGACCTGCACCTGACCTCCAGCCTCAATCCTCCCTCCCTCCGCCCCTCATCTTGCTCTCTCTCCCCCTCCGCCCCTCATCTCGCTCTCTCTCCCCCTCCGCCCTCCCTCGTCCCTCATCTGCTCGATGTACTCCCGCGCTTCCTAACGTTTGATCCTCCTCCCACCTCCCTCCTCACTCCGTCCTCCCTCTATCTGCTTGATGTACTTCCTCCCTTCTTAACGTCGAGTCCTCCTCCTCCCTCCCTCCTCCCTCCCTCCTCTCTCCATCTGCTCGACCTCCTGCCTCCCTTCTTAACATCCGACCCGCCTCTGTTCTCCCTCCTCCCTCCTCTGTCCGCCTGCTCGATCTCCTCCCTCTACCCGTCTGCTCGATTTCCTCCCTCCCTTCTTAATGTGGGACCTTGCATTTCTTTTTCTTCTTTTGTACGGGTCGATCTAAACGTTGCATTTCATTTTTCGATCTGAGGAGCAGAGTGGCGCACGTGTGAGAGAGAGAGAGAGAGAGAGAGAGACAGAGAGAGAGAGAGAGAGAGAGAGAGAGAGAGACAGAGACAGAGAGAGAGAGAGAC